AAACAGATAACAAAGATGTATGGACAATGCTAAACAAAGGAACCAGCACCACTCGCATCTCTTCCATGGAGCCGCATATGCCAGAACTGATGAACCGGGAGTGGGAGCTACGCTTTAATCATATACCCCGAGAAGGAAATACTGTAGCAGGCGAAACTGGCACGGGACCATCCCTTTCCCTTCGTATTCCACATATTTACAGAACCACCAATGCCAATCACGACCTACTGCAGGAACAACTCAACGCCACTGTAACAACTTTGCCTAGCTGAATAGTCTATAATAGATTTTACTCAGTCATTCAAAAATATATATATCAAAATGTTTGTATTTATCTCTTCATTGTTTTTTTCAATTTCATCTTTTATGAAGTTTATTTAAAATCGATGAAAACTCATCTAAAAAATCAACGTTTTAATATTATGAATAGGGCCGGTCTTAATTAGTTTTTAGTTTGGGATGAAAATAAAAAATGGACTTCTAATTTAAAAAGAAATTTAAGAAATGTAATATAAAATTTCTATTATTTTTTATTAAATTAAACAAATAGTAGCCAACTAGTGTTGGCACAAGTGGTTAGGATTCAGAAAATGAGCTTTTAAGGTTAAGTTTGAATCCTACCACCGTCACTTTTGGTGGACAATCTGTAAATCTCAATTGGATCTTAGGTATGCCTTGACTCTGGACTAGGGATCTACTCCTAACCTAAATGCTATAGTACCAAAAAAATATTAAACAAATAGTAATTCATTACAATATCAAAAATATCAAAAAATATTTAAGCATATAAATACTTATAAAAAATTGTCTTTGAGCATTTCTTGATATAATATCATTGATAATAGTGTCAACATAAATATTTTCCAACATATTTTTCTCAAAACATAATAAAGCATTTGGAAATAAAAGAACTATTCTAGAATTTGGAAATATATAAAGAATCAAAAGAAATAATTTGAAAACATGATCTACTTAAAATTTTAACTTCAATATGATTCAAGCAACACAATTGATTATAAAAATTGTGAATTCATATTTGTGAGAAATATGAGAAATTAAAACGTGTGAGTAAAATTTTCAAAGGAATTGTGAAATATGGAAGATAAAAGAAACATGCTAATTATATTTAATGTTTTCCCCATTGAATTTTGAAGAGAAAAATAATGTTAATAATTTTCAATTGATATGGAAAATTGGTAAAATGATTTGATGAATTGAGGGTAGAAATTTGAAAAGACTCGAACTAAAAAATTTAATTGGATTTTTTTTAATTTTGGAAAAGAAATATTAAATTAGAGTTGTATGAGAAATTAACAATCTATTAATTAATATTAATTAAATTATAACAAATTACACTTTAATAAATTAATGGACCCCATAATTTTATTTTACATTTTTTAAAAAAGTTTATAAAAAATTAAAGAAAAATATTATGCTATTTTTTTAATTTGTGGGTCTTAAGAGGGCGCCTCTCATGTCCTAGCCAGGAGTAACCCTGATTATGTAATTTTAAAGAATGATTCATCCTAAGGGACAAACGTAATATTTTATGTTAGATGGGAAACTCGAACTTATAAAATTTCAGGGGTGAATAAAATTTTAGGGGACAAAAAGATTTTCAATAGAAAATACATAGAAAATCTAAAAATATATTAATTTGATATTTTTAGAGGGTAACCGCTCCTATCTAGGTTCATCCCTGCTTCTCATACAAAAATTTAAACAAACACTTTAAATTTCTCAAATCGAATAAAAATCACAAAATCTTAAAAGTAATAGATTTTAAACAACCAGTTGGTCTTGTAGGATGAGGCACTAGATTCCTTACACAAGGTCATGAGTTCAAACAATGACGTTTGCGAATAGAGCAAATTGGATTGTGATAGTCGCCCTTGCCTCTGCAGTAGCTGATCTAAAATAATTTGTCAATAAATCGGATATTAGGTAATTAATTCAAAAAAGAGAGAGAGAGGGGTAACAAAAAATCTAATCCCGGTGAAATAATAAACAATAATAAAATAAATTCGTGTGTGTTTCAAATACCCATACGATACGTTAAACGAAAACGATTATATGTAAACCAAAAAAAAAGAAGCTAAATTTGATAAAGCAGATGAGATAAGAAAATAAAAAGAACAAATAAAAAAATGTTATTTTTAACTTTCACGTCAATGTTAAATATTATTTAATTTCGATTCAAACATTTAAAGTCTATAGCTAATGAGTAATTTATAATTATAAAAGTGCAAGCGGTGGCAGAACTACGTTCAACACGAGAAGGTCTCATTTTTTTTAAGTCAATATTTTTTATTAAGCTAATTTGATTATAAAATAATATATGTTTTAAATACTTTTAACTATTTGAAAATAAACGCTCATTTATCCTACTATAAATATTGGTGATTGAACACATAACCTCTAGGAACAACAACAATTCCTTTAACCACTGAGATAAGTTTGTCTGTTCTTGCGTAAGTGAATAACCCTCTATTATTTGAGTTTTTTTCTAATTAATTACACAGCCCATGTCTTATATTTGGGTAAACTACAAGTTTAGTAACTCAACTATCAGTTTTGTTCTATTTTGGTCATTCAACTATTTAGTTGTTTCAAAATCATATAAAATATTACGTTTAGTTTCATTTTAATCACATACTGTTAATAAACTAAGGATGATGTTAGCGTGTCACTAATGTCATGTCTTGATTTTTTTTAAATGTCACTTCAATAATTTTTAACAATAGGTAACCAAAATACAACTTTAAGTATGAGTTTGAAAAAAAAAGTAGTTGAATGATCAAAACAAAACAAAAATTGATAATTTGGGTATTAAATATGTTTACCCTATATTGTTTTGAACTTATATTTTGAATATGGTTTAAATTTTATTATACTCTTAACCTTGTGGTCGTGAGATCGAGTTTCACGGAGGGCAATTTATAATTCGGAGGTCTCTCACGGAAGCTGCTCTTAACCTGGAGTTGGGGCAAACTAAAACTCAACTATAGAATAAGGTCAGCTAATTTTTATAAAAGATAAAGGGACAAAAAGAATAACCATTTGGTAGTTAACTATTTCTCATAACAAGGTCTGTTTAGTCAAACATTTTTTTGGTGAAACTAATGTGGAAAAAAATATAATTAGACAAAACTACACATCTTTTTCCTCTCTATATAAAGATCAAATTCCTTCCGCGCTTAAGAGCTTCATGTTGCACACGCTGGGCACCAAGCAAGAAAAGAGTCGTCGCATCTTCTTCTGCATTACATTACAAAACAACCATGTAAGAAAAACCTAAACATGTAAGAAATTATAAATAAAAAATCAACATTAACTCAATTCATTAATATATCAGCCTTTATAAAAATAATAGTGAACTTTGTATTTAATCACACAACCATTCATTTGAGTTCCTTTTAGTTACTCAATTATCAAAATCTTACATGAAGTTAAATTTTAGTTATGTTTTGATCATCTGTCGTTAAGAAATTAACAATGATGTTAACATATCACCATAGAGTAATGTCACATCATTATTGGAAAAAAAATTAGCACGCCAGTAATTTTGTTTCTTTTAGTAGTGTATAATTAAAACAAAATCAATATGTAACTTTAAATATGATATTAGAAAAAAAATATTTAGGTGACTAAAATGAAACTATATGAATAATTGAAGGAATAAATCTGTAGTTTACCCTAAAAAATATGGACTTACTCTCTTTGGACTGACAGGAACGTCGTCGTATTTAAGCTGCTTGCTATTTCTCGTGTACAGTGATATTTCGTTGGTTCGGTCACGTCACAGACTCTCCTCCCACCTTCTTCTCCCTTTCGCTTACCTGCTGTATGCCACCGTCCACCATCCAATATTATCAACATATGATACATCACGAATGGATCGAGAGCGGTGGAGTGGCTAAATTTTTAGATTTTTAATATATCAGATATTTTTTTTATTAAAATATTTTTTATCTTTTAAAATTTTACAAATACGTTTATCCTTCAAAATTATTATAAAATAAAACCTGCGATAGTAAATAACAGGTTAATGATAAAAGCAAAAAATGTTAAACGTTATGATAACAACCATGGTTGCATATGGAAATGTTATCGTTATATGTAAAATGGGTGAAGTTAAATATCGATGATAAGAAATTAAGTTGAAAGTCGAAAATATTATAAGTCTTGATAACAAAAATGTTAACACTCAAAAATGTTACTCGAATTTTTAAAATTGGATCAACAAAATAAGGACGGTAACAAATTAAGTTTAGAATGGGAAATGATATACATAGAGATGACAAATTCGGTTACACCCAAGAATATGTTTTTTCTTTCTTTCTTCTTCGTCTTCATAAGTTTATCGTGGTTGTCCTCATCATAACTTGCATCATCCAATTCGATGGTTGAACGGTGAATCCACGTCGCCTGAGTCAAATCTTTTTTTTTTATTATTTTCTTGAGTTTTCTCATCAATTAATCGTGAGGAAAAAGAAACTCCATTGAAGGTGGCTCCAAACTCCGGAAAGGCAGCAACATGGAAGAAGAAGAGATTGTGGAAAATGGGTTGATGAAAAAGCTGGTTAAGGAAGGTGAATGACATTTCTCTCTCTAAACTTAATTTGTCACTGTTTTTATTTCGTTGGTCCATTTTTTTATTCTTAATTGTAACCGTTATTATTATCATAACGTTTAATATATTTTGTTCCTAATTGTCACATTATATTTTCATCATTAACCTATAAACATTGAATATTGTATTTTGTCTCGTCGTCTGTTAGCGAACCGTCAGCAGAATCACCCCAACTTCACATATAAGCTATGGGATATAAAAATGCAGGATTCCTAGATAGATTCCTGGAAAAGTTTCAATGGAGAAGTTCCCAGAAAGAGTTTGAAGACAGATTAGTGCTTTACTTGTCTCTGTCCCCACACTGTACTAAAAATATGAAATCGCTGAAATTTTTTCCATAAAAAGGGTTGAAGAAGAGCAAACTGACCTTTGTAGAGGAGGGAGTTCAGAAGAACGTCTCCTTGAATCGACTTGATACAAGTCGTGGGGAGAAACATAAGGATTGGATTCACCAGACGAAGAGCTGAACCGAATCAAACCAGCTTGTCTAGCACATTCGAAGTACTGAGTTATAGGCAACTCATTGTCATAGTCCCACTCTCCAAATGCTGGAATCTGCCCACTTCTCTGGCGATAATCCTGAAACAAAAAGAAGAAAACCTCATAAAAGAATTACCTATAAACGACATATCCATTGAAGATGATAATTTTTTTTTTCTTTCAAAATGTACTCTCTTTTTTATTTAGACCCTTAATATTGCTTTTTACTCAATTTAGTTTTTTTTTACTACAATTGTTTGCAAATTCTTTCTTCCCATTAATTCCTTGATCTTTTATACTCATCAATATTTACCCTCAAAATAAAAGAAAAATATATTTTGAATAAATTTTATAATTTTATATTGTATTTGGTATATTAAATAACATTATAATGTGAAAAAGAATATGGAATATATATATTATATAGTTAGAGAAAGTCGAAAATTTGAAATCAATCTTTATCATAATACTATAAATAATTATAATAAAATTGGCATAGAAACTCAAATAACTCGACTCGAAAAAAATTACAAGTTAAGTTAAAAAAATCAAGTTAATAAGTTTTATTTTATAATTTTAATTTTATTTAAAATTTTTAAAGTTGAATCAAGTTATTCAATTTTATTTAAATTTAATTATAAACATTTATAATTATATGGTACTAATTGATTCAATTTAGGAGACTCGATTTGAATGTGAAATCAATCCACTTAGGGATGAGCAAAACTAAACTCAAAAACCAATTTTTCGACTTGTCTCAAGAATTCGAATCGAATTGACTTCGAGTTATAATTTCATAAACGCAACACGAATAAAAAAGTTAAGTTCAAATCGAGTTGTAAAATACAACTTGAATAATTTAAATCTTTAGTAATTAGTGGATTGATTTTCATGTTTTGAGTCGAGCCTCTTGACTCTGTATGGCATGTATATCAGATATGAAAAGAATAGAAAGAATATATATATGTATTGGACATAGTTATAAAAAAATCATTTAAATTATAATCAAATAATATCATAATATTATAAATTTTTACAATTAAATTTAAACATAAACTATAAAATCCAATTCAACTTGATTCAACCTAAGTATATAATAACTATAAAATCAACTTGATTCATAATATTATAATTTGAATATATAAAAAATCAACTCAACTTTATATTTTGAATATATAAAATTTAAGGTAATAAAATTTTAAAAAGTAGATTGTTATAAATAGACACTAATATTGAACATGACAGACACTTACAACGTGATGAAACAAACTTACTTCATGGTTCCAAAAACAAGAAGCATAACAAATACATAAATTGTCATAATATCCGTACCAATGTTGGAGGTTTGAATTACACACAGTTGGTAAGGCAATTGTAGTCTTTGATTTGTTCAGGGAAGGCAATGTAGTGATGATACCAAGACTGTAAATGTAAAAACGGATTCATCTCCGGACGAAGAACTACTAAAATTATTTTCGTGAGATCAAGAGCTCTCACGATTCGAAGTCCCTCATCCCTCAATTCGCCCCTAGAACAAACTAGAATAAGGCCATAGACATATATGGCATTGATGTTACCTCTATATGTCACTTGCTTCAAACAATGTAGATCGAAGTCCGAATTTATTCCACTAAAAAGAAATAAAACATGCATTCTCTATATAAAGCTTCAGGATTGTTAGTAGCAAGACATCTTTGGTGAATCATCTTCTCGGGTTGATACCGCGGCACAATGCTAAAATTTTTCATCAAAATGTTTTGGAAAATGTAATACTGATCATCAGCTTCATGAAAACTCTTACAACTCAACTACGTGTTGACGCAATCGACGATGGAGTTAGAAACAACATGACGTAGAATTTTTGTTAACACTTGTCTAAGGAATTCAACATTATTAAAATACATTTTTTTGAATTTTTCTTTGAAACCGATTTAGGAAACATTAAAAAATGGACCCTTATTTATAACAATCCTCGCATCCCTCTCGAAGCGAGTATGCGATGGACCTCACGTTTCCCAAGACACGAGGTATATTGAAAAGACGCGATGCTTGAAATCAAATAAAATCCAAATAAGAAGGATCTCACGTTACACAGGACGTGAGATACGTGATCCACTGGCCTCGCTGGTTGTAAAACACAAGGTCCTAATTCTACAAATATAATGACATTATTAATGTTAAAAAAGGAACCTATTTAATCAATCAAATTTTAAAAAAATATGGCATTATTATTTTAAAAATCCCGAAGCTAAAAAACGAGTTGATAGACATTTTTAAAAAATGTTTGAGGTTACAAGCATAGTTTTGCAACTTATATTTCAATTGAAACTAATGTGGACACATGAGAAATTGTAAATGGGGTACGATTTATGTAAATAACTTAAGCGATGTGTACATTTTAATTTTAGCACACAAGATGTGAAATGAGAAATAGATGTTGCATTCTATAATAAACAAATACCGCCGTGCCAGGGAAATGCAAAGGAAAAGTACTGTCTTCTTTATTTGTGCAGTCGGTACATAGCACAAAGGAAAATGCTCAGAAGCGTTTCTCGAAGGGTGTTCATTTGAACCTAATTCATAGAGGAACAAGTTTCTCGAAAAGTGCAAACAAAAATGTAGATACCACCAGAATAGGATGCCTTGTGTTCTGTTCTTGGTACCGTTGATACAAAATGCTAAGGAAAAAACACATCATTGTTTCAAGAAGTATGCAAAGGAAATCTAGATTCCACTAAAAGAGGATCCATTTTTAAAACTAAAAGTTTTCTGAGTAGGCTTCAGGGAGATGGTTTGGTTTGGTTCGGTGGAGCAAGAGGAATTAAAATAAGCAAATACAGTCGGGAATATCTGCTGCTGTTGCGTCAGGTGACAACGGGTCGTTTCAATTGCCAAAGAAAATATATGCCCTTTTCTCAAAAGCAAATACAGTTGGTCAAGCGCTATCGACTTATGTTTGAGTTGTTACTCGCTTTTTGAATGGGTGATTTATGATATGGTTTCGGTATTCAGCTCCTATTGTTGGTCGGGTGATCCTTCTGACCAAGCTTGGCCGCGTGTTGCATAAAATACTTTATGCCAACCGAAGTGTTTTGGGGGGGGGATCAGTTTTCATGACTTTTGAACTTTCAATCTTGCTATGCTCGACAAGAATATTTGACGGTGCCTCCAAGCCCTGGATAGTCTTTCCATGAGGGTTCTTACTACCAAATACTTCCATTCGAGTAATGTTTTTGATGTCGTACTTGGTGATCATCTATCTTTTGCTTGGCAAAGTATTTTCGTAACTCTTAAAGAGTTGTGTGATGGCTTTTTCTGTGTATTGACATCAATAGCCAGATTCATACTATCAGGGGTTGGGGTGGTACATCTCCCCCACACTGTGATGGACAATTTAATGATTTTGTTTCCTCACCAAACCTTTTTGCTGATTACATGATCTATAATCTTCCCTGATGAATTCTTCTTAAGTTCAATGATATTTTTTTGCCAATGATGCACAAGGTAGTCTCGAAGATGGAAATATTACAACAAAAGTACGTTGAGTAATGTGTTGATCCTCCAAGTGCAAAGTCCAAGTTACCTATCTAAAAGGGAAAAGTTGGAGAAAATGAGTTAGAGAGTTTAGTGTGTTCCAATAAATGCAAAATAAAACATACGAATAACTTTAAAATTTATTCAGTATCATATTTTTATAAGGTTTTTATTAAAATCACATACAACCGTATACTGATATACACTTATCCAGAACTACATCTATAAGCACTTATCAGAGGTCCACTGTGCGTAGAAGCCAACCTAAGGGAGCATATTGGGTTACCCTAACCGAACCATAGGAGTGCACTTGAGAGGTGCCTATGGTCCATCAAGACTTACCTTATGCCCATTGGGCGTATAAACCCAGTAAAATAGTATGTTCTGTTTCAACAAAACCTGGCTGAAACTCATGAAACTGTGATTCCATATTATCTAATGGTTCCACGGTGCAATGAGAATGAAAAGCTGAATATTTTTCTAATATTTAATCCACTGAAAACTCAAAGCATCTCTGTCGGTGAAAATGAGATACTTGTGGCTGAGAGAGAAAAGAGTAGAAATTGGTATGTGATTTCTTGACTTTAGATTTTAGTTCCAAAGCTAGGCCTAACTCATTATTCGGCTGGGTGGCGCAGATGGGCTAAGCTGGTGCATTTCCATTTGACATGTGATAACAACTAAGCCTATGGATTAGGTGAACTACACGTGGGAAAACTACAGGGGGTGTTATTTTCATGACTTTTTTCGCACATGGAACTTAGTTAACTGATGCGTATTCTTACATGCCATCCATAACTTTGACTGGTCTAAATTGTATGTTTGTATGATTAACCCAACTCAGTCAAATATCCCTGACAACTTGGTTTTATGACTGATTGCACGCTCAGAGTTGAAATTATCCTTATCCTTGTGATAGGATGAGGATTAACTTTGCAAAGAAAGAGATACCCATGTTTGCTCATCTTATTTTCCACCAATTGGTTATAATATATATATAAATATTAGTTTGCCTCAAACCTTTTCTTCTCTCCACAGGTAAAAGCAAATGTCAAGGCCCCCACAACTAAGTAATGAAGATGCTTTTGACCACATGAGGTATGGCACCTTTGGTTTCTTGTATTGGCCTGAGTTAAGGTTTCCCATTTATTATACCTTCCTAAAATAATTTTTTTTGGAAATTGTAAATTTTTAGTCAGTCAAAATTTTTAAACAGATTTACCGTCTATCGAAACCTCTAAGGAGCTTGTATCCTTCGAGCACATATTTTCGAGTCAACTATAGTGCATAAACAAGACTTCTAACGGGTTTGATTGATATATCAGTGTGAAATCTAAGATTTAACTATCACATCTATTTAACTCGTTAAACTACGAATAGCTAAAATTACCCTATGTCCGACACCACTAACTAAGAGTCATTATAAATACCTACCAGTCAAAACTGATAGAAGGGTTGAACTTTCAGTAATCTACACCAATCTTCCTCCTCTTCCTTATGACCAATCTTCCTCCTCTTCCTTATGACCACTCTTCGTCACAAAGAAATATATGTCGTAACTCTCCTCCAAACCAGGTGAGATGAATCGTCA